TTTGATAGATTACTTGGCAATGCGGATAACAGTAAAAGCAAAACAGGTCAAAATAGGGGCTCCAAACGCACCCGCAGCTGCCTTCCTTTTAGCCAACACCCAAAACCTCCTCAGAGCCAAAGCGACTGTTAGCCAAGAAAACTTTTCAGTGGCTCGAGCGTTCATATTTGACAGTTGCCTGGACTGTCTGTCAATGTATGTGTGTATGAGTGTGTGTGTGTGTGTGTGTATGTGTTTTGGTAGTCAACAGTTTTCGGGAGTATATGCAACTTTATGCCGCAACTTGCCATCAAAAAGGGCGGCAGGCGTGTCCCGTTGTTTGCATTTTGCAGCACTGCAGCTAATGGCAATATTTTTGCGGTCGACGACTGGAGCGAGGGCAGTTCCGAGAGTTTGTGCCTGTGTGTGTGCGTGTGCTTTATTTTTGGAGTGCGCAATGCTAACGAAATGACAATGGGGCACAGAACTTGCCATTCATTACTTAAAAACTACGAAATTAGCGTTGAATTTTTGCCACAGCAATCGTTAAAAAACTTTCTGGAACCACAGCCGAAAAAGTCTGTGCCGGAGAGAGAGAGAGACAGATAAAGAGAGGGAGAGGGAGAAGGAAAACTTTATTTTTACAACTAATTGGCAAACTTAAATGTAAGATTTAATTTTGTTGTGGGTAACACAGCAACGGCAGCCAAGCAGGCAGGACAAAGCCGTTTGAGGCTTCATTAAAAAATTACATTGCGCCGCAGGCGACACAGAGAAAAAGACAGACGAAGGGAGAAGGGTAGACAGGGGGAGAGAGAGTGAGGAATGGGGAGAAAAGCAGCTAGTGGCAAGTTTCATTGTCGCCCGAGTTGGCAACAAAAAAATTTGCCACATAAATAAAAGCGAGACAAGTTGAATGTGGCCGCAGCTGCTGGTCCAGCACATATTGACAGCAGCTGAATAACTTCAGCTCACACATACACATACATACATATATCTCCCTCTCCCTCCCTCTATATACATTTACCCTTGACTTACCTGGAAACTTGTAGAGGGCCACCTCGTTGCAATTAATCTCAATCAGGGTGGACGTCTCGTTGGGCAAGCCAGCGCATTGGCACATCGAGTTGAGTGGACACGCATAGAGCACATCCTGCTGCTGGCTGCCAAGCAGCGCAGCTGATCCTCGTGCCGGCGGCGGACCACGTGCCAGGGCGCGGGCTATATTCCGGGCACTGCGATGCAACCTCTGACCCGCCGCAGCAGCGCCTCCGCCATCGAACTGCCAGCAGTGGGCGGTGCAGACGAGGCACGAGATCAGCGCCAGGTACAGGTGCATGCTAAAAGGAAGCGTACAGAAAAGGTGGATGAGCAAATTAGTTAACAGTTTCAGTTTGGGTAGTATTTCTAGGGCAGTGCTTAAAGTCGTTTTAAGTGTGTGTAATCTTGTCTGGCAAGTGCGAATGTAAGAGAGATGAGCAAGGGCAGAGCAGCTTAGCACTTACACAGCAAAATAATGAAAGATGCTACAGCTTATCTCTCACTTATCAGATATATATGTATGTAAGTCTTTGGCGTACGTGCATGCAAGTTGAACTCTCTTTGTAAAACCCCTGGGCAAACAATTCTCTTTCGGCTGAGTTTGTAGTCGACGGCAAGTTAATGCTCATATTAAAACCGAGAGAAGCTTGAAATAACTTTAGAAAGCGATTGCTTACTTTTTAGGTGATTGTGATGCTTGATATAAATTTAAATAAATAAATAAAATATTAAAGAAGCTAAAAAT